AACAACCGCTTGAATGATATCGTCTTATTAGTCGAAATAGTTACTTGCAGGCGACACCGATACTTCATTGTTGTTGATCGAAATTATTACTTGCAAGTAACGCCGATACTTCAGTGTCACTTTCTAACAGACCGAAAAAATTTAGCATCACCACGCAATCATACTTAAAGAAGGATGTGGCACATTCGTGTCACCATCGTGTCACCAGCAATTGATGGTACAAATAGTAAGTGTATGTACCATATTCGCTATTAGCAAATAGGTAAATCGGGTGATGGTGGGGGCTGTGAAGTGGTTTAAATTTTACCGGTGAAAGTTGACTAATTGCTCTGTGTTTAAGGGTTCCTTCCCCAGACATGACGTCCCTTCACTGTAATAGCCTTTTACCCCATAAATGGTTCATTTAATTGCGAGATGTATACATGTGCATATATAAATAACTATTTTTGAAGTAGTATACATCTGGTATATTTTCTTATTTTTTAGATATCTGGTATATTAATTTTATTTTTATGCGTATCTGGTAGATTTTTATTAATTCTTCTTTATTAAAATTTATCGGCACAAGCTGATGGCAGAGAGACAGGTCAAATGTACAAAAGCTTTCAGATTTATTCTTTGTCTTTTCTGCGAATTAATACCTCAAAGTTGGGTTGTTAAGCATTTGTATGCAGTAATGATATTTAATTATCGTTTTAAATAACTGTGTTCCATGAACAAGAATTTAATTTCTATACAAAGACGGCTGATACATTGTTATATATAGATATTTTTTTTTTTTGAACATTTTCTCACGACGTGCATCGCACATGATATCCTTTTAATTCGAAAGCATCATGGGCTCCTGTCGAAATATTGATAAGTTACTGACAATTAACGATTTGGACTCGATCAGGCAAAGCGTGAGGACATTTGAATTCTAAAATACTCTAATTCGAGGGTAGAAAGGCAGTGAACATTTAAACTTAATACTCACAGTGCACATGCAGCGGGGCTGCCGTAGCGTTGCGCTTAGAGGAAGCGTAATTTAGGTCACCAACCTATCGTTCTATACTTAGAACAAGTACGAGCTAGCAGATCGCAATCCGCTTACTCCGAGAGTAATTATTGCCCTAACCCCAAGGCTAATTACTCTTCCGTTTAAAATTTAACATGATTTTTATTTATTTTTATTTGCGGTAAAGACTCCTAATTTTAAATGTATAGATTTTCCTAGATAAATATAGTAAAATCTTAATACATGCATATCTACTGGCTACCTAGCCACATACCGTATTCTTTTTTGGGTGCAGTGACACCATGCCCATCTCATGTGACAAACACCATCGTTACCAGGGTACGTGTAAACCCGTTACACAAAAGGCAAGTTGCACATGACCTACTTTGTTACGCCCTCCCATCTTAGGTTAAAGAAAGAGTGACACCTCCCGGCATTCAAGCACATTGACATCAGGAGAAGCTTAACGGATGATGGACTTCACTCACGAATAAACTCCACAAATTATTGCTCATAAGATATCTCTTGTAATGTTATAGTGCGATGAGGGGTCGCCTTTATGCCTTCGTCACGTTTCAGTTTCAACGAAAAGGCGGCTTTGTTGAGAGTAGACCTCAATTGGAGTGTCTCATGGTGACGTCAGCACAGGACAACTTGACTCAAATTTGTTGGTCGTATTCGGAAAAGATAATTGCACATATGTGGCTGAGAACGAGAGTCTCCTATCTCTTGCATGTTTTAGGATGACAAACTGACATTCTGGTTTCCATCGGGGCTATTTGTCAGTCAACTCACTTACCAAACTACCAAACTAGTCTGTCGGACTCAAGTGACTCAACCAACTGTCTCTGCATGTTGATAGATTATATGCCTAACCTCAATCGACCAGAATGAGACGCTGGATTAATCACACTACTTCCTGTGGGAGTTTCTTATGCGCTTCTCGTTGGGTATGAAAGGTTTCTTGTGCTCATCACTGCGGTAACTGTGTCTAACGAGAACGCACCGCACTGATTACCACAATGAAGAGTTTAAGATGTCGAGGCATTTGCGATTATTTCGACTCAGTCGGGCCTCACGTACCAATCGATGGTGCGTGAAGCCACTTCGGCGATTGAAGCATGGGATGTGTGTTGTGCTTTCTTTGCAATGCAATCTTCGCACAAATGTGTGCAGCTGCGTAACTCCATGATATTCGATGGGCGCTAGTGGGAATCGCATGAAACGCATTTTCAGGGTTTGATGAAGTGTATGCTTATAATGATGCTGTGGATGAGAAGACGACGGGGGACGAGAGGTTGATGGTCCATTCTGGGAGCTTGCCAGCCGAATATGATGCGATGGTTCGTAATTGAGGCTCACGACGAGGTGGGGTGATTAGAGTGAAAAAGATGCCCCGAGGCGAGTACGAAACCCGAAACATAAAATATAGAATCAAGTGTTTAAGGCTACAAGAGTTGAAAAAATCTACGGTTGGAACGCGCCAATTGTGAGTGTCAGCGAATGAAAAGCTATGGCAACAACAACGGTGGTAGTCAGATAAAAAAACAATCTCAGAGGCAGTTTTAAGGGTGGGGATAAAGAATTTTGTCATCAAAATTATCCAAATCGGACAAATGATGGTGGTTATAACGCGTTTGTGTTCTCATCCACCTGTCGTGCCTCAGGTCAGCGTTGGCATGGTTGTTGAACAATAGGGCTAATTCTCCATATGTCCGATGCTGTTAAGAGTTCGTTGAGGATCGTCGGCTCGATCGTCCGATTGTATATTTTTCCCAATGGTCAGCGCCTGTCAGTTGTCGCTGTTAGTACCGCTCGTTTCCAGGTGAGCAAGAACCGTACGTGTGAAACTGGAGGCCGTGTTACAATATAATGTTGGTGTCTATTTCAGCATCTGTGAAACTGGTGGACGTGCTACATGTTCTTTGCTGAGTAGAATGTTATTGTCTATTCAGCGTCGGTAGCAAGTTTTGCGGTGGTACATTTTTATGAAAGCCCAAGCAGTGCTATTGTTGTAGCGAGCCCAAAAGTCAGAAATATATTTATGTGAAGTGTCCGTGGATGAGGTGATATGTGTCAACTGTGTAACCCAATCCAAACGTGTGGTTTGGCGCAAGGCGCAGTGTCATTTCACAACCACAAATGGATTTTGTTTGGTTAGGAAGTGGACTGTGTTCCAGTACTGCAGCCTAAAGAGGGTATATGCGATGGCTTCGCGCGTGGATACGTATCAACGAGTCCGTTCTAACACCATTCTTGGTGTGATAAGAAGACGAATGAGCTGCTTGAGATTGCTTAATATGTTCTGATGGGTCCACTCAAGTCAAAAGCAGAGAGGGTGGGGAACTAAACACTCTCATGCCTTGGCGGACTTTAGTCGTGTGGTGTTCATGTTATATTTTGCGTCAAAGTATCAAGTGCTGGAGTGTTTTGTAACGCTCAAGGTTCTTGCTAAACGCAGTATCGGCGTCGAGTCAAGTGCATCAGATCCGGCAAGGGTGGTGAGTACACCAGCAAGGCGTTCATCAAAGCCTGTGCCTCGCGTGGCATTGTTCACTAAACATCTCCTCTCGACTATTCAAAACAGAACGGCGTCACAAATAGATGGGTCGTTTTCATTGTGAAGTGACGCATGTATATGTATACTACATGCAAATGAGTTTAAAGAGCAAAAGATTGAAATGGGAAGCTAAGGCGCATTTTTCTATGTTAATTGGGTATGCCGAAGAATTGAAGGCCTATCGTGTTTGGGGGGGAACACTTGGTGACGATGCGTAGTGTGCTTTTTGATGAGTGGCCTCATACCCAGTGTTGTTCTGTTGAAGGATCCGTATAGAGCGATAACATCAAGACTGTAACGGGGTTTCGCGTGCCTTGGTACGAAGGGTGTGGGTCACAAAAGATGGAATGGTGTGGGTTACACTTAACAAGCAGTCAGTACGTGGCGGGAATAGCCAGTAATTATACATTTATTTAGGTTTTTCTATATGAATAGGAAAGCTTAAGATTTAGATATGGGCGGCTTTGCCGCGAAAGAAACTAGAATACAGTTTACCATTCAAACGGGAGAGTTGATTAGCCTTGCGTTGAGCATGTAGTTACTCGTAAACTAAGTGGATTGCGATCCGCTACACTCATACTTGTTCTAAGTATACAACGAACGTCGCCGACCCGCAACTAAGCTTCAATAAGCGAAAGAGCTACGGCGCCCCCGCTGCAAAGACCGCCTGATCACGACGATGTCATGGTTGGCAATAAAATTAAATCAAGTCCACAGGATCAAATTTATCGCATGTTGAGCTGTCTCAAGCTCAAATTGGGACGAGGAAACAGACATGGGTCATAGCAGACCCACGTCTTGGAAGTTCTTGTCGCTTCAGGCTCAAATACGCTGCAACCAACTCGCATTAACTTGATCCCGGTAGCACGAAAAACTGCTGTCATCCCGGGTATGAAAGAAAATTCTATTTCACGTTTCGCATCGCCTGTCATATTGACGGAAGCTACTGATTTTCACTGTTGCCGTCTTTGGAAAAAGGATGAAGATCGACTTGGGTTTAGTAAAGGTCAGCGCGACCAAACGTAACAAGATTTGAAACCGGTCGATCACTGATGTACCTCTCAGCAGCACTGTCGATTCGTCGAATGTGCCTCGACTCACAGAGGGTTGTGTTGCTGGCGATGGTCCGTATATGCCATAGAGCAAGCGGACAAGGCTGGATGAGTATCAGATTGCTTAAGTGGCAAGCGAAGTGCCACTGACGCATGCAGAAGTGATACTATGATTCAGTGCGGACAGGTGGAACGAAGCTATTCGGAGTGAAATTGTCCACAATTCACATATAGGATTTTGTCTACCGTCTAAAATTTATCAAAGTGATCGGTCACAAACGGATGCTCGCTCACAAGTATGATGGGCATGGGAACAATCGCGGAACAAGGTTCGACTTGTTGCTCGTTGGTATCTCCGAATCCCGGTCTTGATTACACGACAACCTACTAACCCGTTTCGAGTTCTAGTTGCTTTCCGAATGTTGCCGACGAGACTGCATCGTTCGCCACTTTGACATCGAAGCAGCGTTCCTGCATGGTGATGTCAAGGACGATGTGTACATAGACATTCGACAAGGTACTCGAGCTGGTGCCTGATCTGTGCAAAAGCTTCGTTGTAGTTTTGTATCGACTCAAGCAGTCAACAACTGTGTGGTTTGTGACATGTAAAAGCTCGATTGTGACATGTTCAACAGGGTATTTCAACCACTGTCGTGAGGATCCATGTCTTTTTGTTCACAACAACCACGACCGCAATAATGATGATAATCAGGCTTCGGTATTGATTAAGGTATTTGTTGTCGTTGTCATGATCAAGCGTCAGTAAACGTTCGCATTGTCATTGGCAAGAGCTGAGTACATGACACAAATGCTGGCGACCCAAGAAGCTGTGTGGCTTCGCTCCCTACTAGGTATGATCGGCAACAATCAGCACGAATCCTCGATGATTTACGTTGACAATAAGTCGGCACTCAGCATTACCATGAATTATTGTTGCATTAACCTTAGAGCATACTCTGTTCGTGATCGTATTGAGAGCAACCAAACCAAAAGTTTGACAACGTACCGTCAAAGGATGAACCTGCGAACATCTTGACAAAGTCCTTGCTAACACCACGCTTCATCGAGCTCCGCGAGTCACTTGAAACGACCGACTGTCCGGTTCATGAGGAGGGTTAAGATTGGTCCTCTATTGGAGTGCCTCACGATGACGTCAGCACAGGTCAACTTGACAACCAAAAAATAATGTTGATCGTGTTTTGGAAGGACCGCTGTATATTGTGCGGTAGAGAACATGAGTTTGACTATCTTGCATGTCCGGTGATAGTCTGAGATTTTGGTTCCCACTCAAATTTGTCAGTCAATCAACTCGCCTTTCTAACTACTTTGCTTGACTGAAGTTGACTTGACCGATCAGACAACGTGATTTACTGAAATTAGACTTGCTGAAGCACACTACTATATATAACTTACGTTTTGTAATAATTTATTGCAAAAATTAACAACAACAGCCAACTAAGCAGTAAAGCGAGCTGAAAAAGCGAGTGACACGGAATTAAGACCAACCATGCGCTGACTACCCGCAAGGTGGACGGCACTAGGTTAGTCAAAGACCAGCATCGGTCAAAGAGAATCTATCTGTCTCAAGAAACAAGAGATTTAAGCAGTCGAAATAGTTATCAGAATACACTCTGCGCTTTATCGATTTTGACAATGACGTTTCACTTTTTTTTTCTTTGTACAAGTTTCTCTTTTAAGTTTTGCAGCCAAAGAGAAACTGAGAATGTGTACGCTTCAGCGATCTGCTACAACTATAATCGTGGCTCCCAAGCAGCTCATAATTTAGAATTAGCCATCAAGCCATGATAATGATGAAATTACTCAATTAAGCATTACAGAGTTGTTTCTCACCTGTTGCACTGCTCACTTGTTCTTCGAACAATGAAACCAACAGACGTCTGGCACCATAGAATTACGCTCGTGTTGACGAATTTCTGCTTGATTGGCGCTACAGCAAGTCGGCGCTGGCGTTAAATTATGCGGTGACAGAGTTCGTTTTTATCAAATTGTGACGCAATTCTCACATAGATTCGGGAGTGCTGTGAAGTCACAATCTATCGACCAGTTTATCCGATTTATGAGTGTGTGTGCACCGTAAACACATCGTCAAGTCGATCATTTAAAAAGAACTGAGATCAGTTGGTAGGGAAGTGATTCAGGTCATTATTACACAAAGAGCAATATATTTGTTCAATTTAACCTGGTGGAGAAACTTTGATCACATCACTCACGTTTGATCTCTAAGCACATTGCAGCACCCGAATAACTTAGCAATCACCTCTTGCATCAATAGTTTAGCAACATACCGAAAGTATAGAACAATTTGAGGTGTTCCATACGGTCATCGTCATCAAAGATAATCCTACCCATATATTTGCCACGATAAAAAAGTCCTGATGGCGCTTCCATCCACTCATAACGAGGGAAAGTAAACACGTAGCTTTCCGATCGCGGGGCGTAAGATCCCAACACAATTGCATCGTGCGTCGCTAGTACTGTCTTTTTCACTTTATTGTGGAAGCGTAAACCACTAACAATCGTATGGTTTACACGGAAGGAAATGATGAAGCGATAACGACATCCTTCACTCATGACAAAAGGTGTCGTACGCATGTGCTCAACTCCAGCTGGAGTGTCCAAATTGTACACAATGTCCCCTTGTCCATCTTCAAGTTCGACCTTAAACTCGACCACCACCACGCGACGACCATCAGTTGTATCTACAATGAAACGCTAACGATTTATAGGAAGCCACAAATTACGTTAAATAAACTTTAACCTCCTCGATCCCCATGAGCTGCCGATCCAAGCAGCTGCTCTTTGTATTTGCGTAAGCTTTCGTCATCTGCATCTTTTGCCAACAATTCATCAACCGACTTAATTGCTTGTGTGCTTATCTAATAGCAATGAAATCAGTCTTGTATTTTATTGCCATAGCTTTCGCACAGATCGCGCACTTGATAATTTGTCGGTAAAGTGACGTTGTCACTGTCGCCGTCGCGGACAGTCGTAGTCCCATTAGCTGCCATGTTCCGATGCGATCTTTTCTTCACTCCAAGTGCATTATTCAATTAATAAAAAGGATAAATTCTTTATTTTAGCTCTTATTGGTGCTTAAAAAGTAAATTACGCACAGCCAATTGTTAATTCTAAACAATGCCCAAGACCGAGAAGGGGAAGCCAAAGCGTGCGTGTCCGCTTGAGAAGCAGCTAGCCCATGATAACAAACCATGGTATGACCAGAAAAATAACAAAAAAAATCATCGTGATGTCACTGATTCAGATGACGATATGACGGAGGACGTGGTACCTGAAAAGCTGAGCCGTCGCACGTTGGCACTTGCGAAGCAGCAGCAAGCAGAGGAGGAAGATCAGCACAAGGAGATATCAACAGTATCCAGGAAGCAGGAGCAGGATAGCAGTGATGAGTCTGCGGATGAAAACGATGAGGATATGGATGATTACGATAGCCAGGATCTTGTGCGTTTCAATGGTGATTATGTGGAGGATGTCGAAATCTGTGAGGAAGATGAAGAAGCACTTGCTAATTTTATGATGGGTGCTCCTGATCGCCGCAATTTAGCAGATATTATAATGAATAAAATTTTTGAAAAAGAAGCTCGTGAGCGTGGAGATGATCAGGCACCGCAAAACAGTAAGTTTGATCCAAAAATCGTAGAAGTGTACACGGGAGTAGGGAGAATTCTGCAGCGGTACACGTCTGGAAAGTTGCCAAAAGCTTTTAAGGTGATTCCAAGCCTGAGCTACTGGGAAGACATTCTATGGCTTACGAGTCCCGAGAAGTGGTCGCCGCACGCTATGCGTGCAGCTACGCGATTGTTCGCGTCAAATTTGAACCCGAAAATGGCTCAGCGCTTTTACAACATCTTTTTGCTAGAGCACGTTCGACAGGACATTCACGATAACAAGCGCTTAAACTTTCATTTGTACATGGCTTTAAAAAAGGCACTGTACAAACCACAGGCATTTTTTAAGGGTATAATTATTCCACTCTGTGAGTCTAAAAACTGTAGTCAGCGGGAAGCTGCGATCATTGGCAGTGTGCTTTCCAAAGTTTCGGTGCCTGTGATCCACTCTGCCGCGACATTGATGAAGTTATCAAGCATGGAGTATTCGGGTGGTAATAGCATGTTCATCCGGGTGCTACTAAACAAAAAGTATAGTTTACCCACGCGCGTGGTGTCTGAACTGAGTCAGCACTTTTTGCGCTTTACGTCGGACACGCGCAAACTTCCAGTTTTATGGCACCAATCTCTCTTAGTATTTGCGCAGCGTTACAAGAACGATATTCCTAAGCAATACAAGGAGGCTATGAAGCCATTACTGAAGCAGCATTTTCACCACCAGATCACACCGGAGATTCGTCGCGAAATCTTTAACGAGTAGTATAAAAGTCAAAGACCCTTTTAGCTCAATAGGTGATATATTTTGTAGATAAATCGGTTTATTCAATCAGAACAATAAGTAACTATGATGACGGACTCAGCGGATGTATTCGAGCTAGAGCGCACGTTGTTCAATGAGAAGAATGTATGGGTCTACCAGGTACCAGCGGGTCAAGTGACGAGTCTAGCGCCGCGCGCCGATGCATGGGATCCTGCGCACCCTCTTTTTACTGGCTCAGTACGCGTGCTGCAGAAAGGTGATGCGTGCTATGTGCAGCTCTTTGAACCTGTAGCAGAAGGTTCTGTGAACCCTACATTGTTTGCTCAGTGCCCTTTGCGGATCACGCGTGAACTCAGTCTAGACGTATATGTACACGATTGCGTGGATTCTTCGCGTTACTTCATGCTACGCGTAGAGGACGAGCAAAGTGAGCGTTGCGCTTTCGTCGGCATCGGCTTTTCAGCTCGCTCAATGGCATTCAATTTTAAGGCAACGCTACAAGATTATGCAAAGTATGTGTTGCGACAGCTCGGTGTGCAACCCGGTGCGGCTACAACAGCTGCAGAGACGATTTCTTTAGTAAAACAAGACTTAAGTTTACCCCCAGGAACGACCCTTAGAATCAATCTAAAAACTAACGCCAGTGAGGACGGAGATAAATGTAGAAAGGATCGCAAGTGTGGAAAAGAAGGTGCTGTGAGTCCTGCACAGGTACCGCTTATCCCGCCACCGCCATGCCACTCAACGGAACAGGTAGAGAATATGGCGTGTCCTCAGAAGTTGTCGATGTCGACAATTGCTGATGACGAGGAAGATTGGGGAGAGTTTGTCTCGGCTTGATGACAACACCAATATCATCCAAATTGGAAATTGGCTATAAATTACTGGTAGGATAGTCTACGCTTGTGTTAAGTTGGTAAGTCTGTTGGAACAATGGTCAACACTCGCGCGCTTATTTTGTTTGATCAGCTCAAGATATCATTTCGAAGTATTAGTCGATCAAAATATCAAGAACATCACCGAACGTATTAAAGAGAGACGTAGCTTCCTCACTATCACAGACTCGCGACAAAAATGAAATTCCCGAGTCCAGAATGGGATCCAGCTCCTCGTCTGATGACATTCCACTTCTTTCACGCTCAAAGGTTACCTCAGTGAATGAAACGGCATCATCTACAAACTCAAAGCGTGAAATTCTCTCTTCTTCACTTATTTCATCCCGTGCATCAAAATCTTTTCCACTAGCAAAGTAAACAGCACCATCGACCATCTCGTCCGAAACATCTGCTAAAAGAACCGCTGCATCAAGCATTTCATCAAGCGATGGCAGCACGCTGTACGCCTCCTGCATCACAATAGCCACCTTAGTGAAGCCCGTGGCTGAACTAGCATGGCGATAATTGTCCCCATTTAGCAATTCCTGTACAATGTCGCGACACAACAAGAACGCGTCGAATACTTCTTCACTATTCACTGTCTCGTATATCCATTTCAGCATGTAAATTGCATTTTGTGGGCCAAAAAGCTTTACGAGCATCTTAACAGCTGATCGCGTCTGTGCCACCGCTTCTTCTTCAGAAAACAAAGTCTCTATAGGTAGCAATGTTTTTAGCATTCGATACGATGGCACAGTTATAGCATGGGACAACACATTCACGGACGCGTTCCCAGTAATGTCCACCCCCTGCCATACTGCGTTTGATATCGATGGAGGAATAGAATAGCTTACAGTCCTAATGGACACTCCTACAGCTCCAGAGAGTGTTGAGGCTGTGAAATTCACTGTTGACATTGCACCTCGTGATATTTTTCTCGCTGCACGCATCCCCGTTCTCGTCATAACCTTTGTTGATTCTGCAATAGCTAATAAAGCCAGCTGATGGGATTTCAGCATTGCAGCAGAAATCGTTTGGCCGCTATAAGTGACGACCCGCGTAGGAATCACCACAACTGTGAATACACCGCTGTATGCCAAACGCACTGGCAGGTGCAGCAACTGGGACATACTACCGCTATCTTGCGGCTTATTCTGCTCTTCAAACTTTTCGATGCTACTACAATGGGTGCCGCTAGATCTTCTGCTTGAGCGCTCTTCAACGAGATTCGCTTTGTCCTCCGCTTTATGATTCTTTAGTAAAGGCATCCATGATTGTGCGACGCGGGAACGTACGTGGTGGTGCAGAAGAAGAGGAGCAGACACAGCTATGGATGTAACATGAGCAACTGCTTTGCCTGCTGCAACGTACGGGTATAGCACGAAACTGGCAGCGGACAAAGCTACACCGAGCGTCGTTTCTAAGGCAGATTGCTGTTTCATACGTGCTGACTCTACAGTCTCCATCACGGGCATAATCGTGAGTTCAGCCGATTGATACTCTTTGTCCTCGCACGCTAGGAATGCCTCACTGATTAGAAACTTGTCATCGTTGGACATGGTGCGTGCGCAGCAAGAGAGTGAGATCCCGTTACATTACTTTTTCTTTGTGGGAGTAGGCTGTTTTTATTGCAGAATGTATCAAAATACGACATTTTGTGCTAAATAACTATTCAGTCGACGACGTTAATATTATTGCTGTCTATCTGATTATTCCACACTGTAGAGGTAGGCAAGCGCTTCTTCAACTTGCTTCTTTTGCCTAAAGTTGTGCCCACTTAAGTTCTTGCTCTCTGCACCATCGAAGTTACTATAGATTAGAATATTTTGCATGTGAGGACACATTTTTCATAGCTTTCGGTAATACTTTCGCTTTTGGTGACAACACTTACACGCTTAATTGTATTCGTGTACTTCAAAAGAAGTTTTGTCGACAAGTCACAAAGTTTTTTCGAAGCAAATTATTGTGTACACACACAGAACATGTAATGTGTATTTACATCTTCTTGATAATACAGTGTTATTGTGAGTATCAAAAATTACCGATGCTTCTGTATTTCTGAAGCCACTGGATCTCCGTAAAGAAGAGGTCCATGATGCGCGTGGATTCTCAGCTTTACGTCAAGCAATACAGATAGTGTTATCTTGGGATTTGGTAAAAACGGATATTTTAGTAATAGTTTAAAGTATCACTAAAATATCCGTTTTGGAACTCATCGTCAATATACGTAATTCTTGAACGGGCAAAGCATCCTAGGCAACTAATTATTTTAACGCCTCCTCTTGGGTAAGACGTAGAGGTCAACTTTCTGGCGAATGTTCACGTCAATTCTTAAAGTTGAAGTTTCGCTTCTGCAAAGTGCAAGGCAACGCCGTTGTCCTTACTATTGTTAATAGCACTTGTAGTCAATCTCACGACTGAGTCGTGAAAAGACATGAAAACGAACAATTAACAGGAGTACGATATACTCAGTTATCCATCCTCGAGACAACAAGACCCGCTTGAAAAGTTTTATCTTATAAGGGTTCAGGAGAATAGTGACCAAAGAATCAGATGCGGTAATCGCTCTCTAGAGGCATTCACAAGATACAGCAATGTGCTGTTGTAACACGCCTAGAAGCGCCACAAACTGGCATCGGCGCGTGTAGCGGGGCTGCCGCAGCAAAAATCTTAAGGAAGCGTACTTTAGGTCACCGACCTTTCGTTCTTTACAAGAACCAAGTATGACTTAGCGGATCGCAATCCGCTTACTCCAAGAGTGATCATTGCCTTCCCAAGGCAGATCGACTCTTCGGTTTAAATTCCAGACTATATTTTTATCCTAACTTTAAAAGTTGAGAATATACTAGTATACATAGTAAAATCTAAATATATGCGTAACTACTGGCAACCTAGCCCCGTACCGAATTCTTGACTGGGTGTGTGGTCACATCATGCACATCTCGTGTGACACACACCCCTGTTATTAGGTTTGTATAACCCCGTTACACCCTCCCCCATTAAGATTAAGAACATTTACGGTTCCAATCGATTATTGCCTCAACGAGGCTTGCGTGTCCGTTAGACACTGCGTTGGAACGAAACGACTTCCGTGCTCAATGGACCCTGTGTCAATGACACCGAAGTCTCCAAGTCTCGCTTGTTCCGACAACGCTCACGGGCAGAGCCCACCTTCATCTCCTGCACACGGTGCCATGTCGGATCGTGTCTCCGCGGCATTGAGGGATGTAAATTCTAGGCTCGATGAGCCCGAGCGTTGCGCTCCGCGCACGCTAACGGTGACGAGTGACCTTGTTGTGGATGTGGTGGTGGTCGCCTACGAGCCTTATACTCCTTTTCCCGGATGGAATGGTGAGGAAGGCGAGCCGCATCTGCGGCTTAAGACGAGCCCTGCTCGCGCCTTGCTGACCACATGTCCGTTTTCTAACTTCTCGTCACCTGAGGAACGTCGTGTAATTACCAATTATCTCGATGGGGCACGGAAGCGGCAGCTGGAAGCTGCCCGTAAGGCGGCTGTGATGCGCGCCCATCCACGGTCGGTCATTGACCCTCGTGTGGAATATGGCTTCCGCCCGGCGGAACTCGCTGTGGAAGCGAAGAGCTTGGTAACTCGATCGTTACGCGTCCACATCATCGGGCCCCCGGTCATTACTGAAGATGAGCTTGCCGAACGGAAAGCTCTTCGAGCTCGTTTCTTGGTTCCACAAGAAT